TTACCACATACCTGAGAGCGTGCCTAAACACCAGGCTGTGCCGGGAGCCTTGGATTACATCCCCGGGGACGAAACGGAGAGCGGTACGGATCTCCAAATCTTGTTTGCAAGATACGGCGAAAAGCAATGCGGTTGCGCAACAAAAGCGTGCGAGCTTTTTTGTTTTGACTACGAGCACAAAGAGAGGAGATCCCTGTTAAACACTGACTGATGCCAAAGTCGAAGGTTGAAGCTCCTTGTTGACCGATATGTGTGGCAACGCAGCTTCGTCATGATTGTTTGCGGGTCTAAAAATAAGAGATGAGTGAAGCAACGTAACCTGGAGCAGATGAGCTGTTTTACAGACACAAATGAACTCGCAACAATGCTATTAATGCCCCTGGAATCAAAATAACAGCTTAAAATGCAGGGTTGGATGCAGGCCTTGACACAAAGGTTTGCTGGAGACCCATGAGAGTTTATGCTTGCCCCAGTAAAAATGTACATACTAATGCACAAAGAAAAGAAAAAAAGAACATTCGCATGCCTTGAGGTTTTTCCACATTTTGTCATGACACTATCACTCACCTTCAAATAAAATTATATATGGCTCGAAATGGTTTTACAAAAAAAAGAAAAGAAAAAGAATACAATCTGAATAGTTTGGTGTGCTTTCCTGTTCATCCCACTTTACTCCAATACGTCTAAATAAAAACCAATTGTTCAGAAGTCGCCGAACAGTCTGCATGTGTGCAATCGTGCTTCACCAAATAAAATCTCAATGAAATCCATTTGCGTTTGTGATTGTAAAGTTGCAACATGTGGAAAAGTTAAAGGGCTGCGTAAATACTTTTGTAAATCATTGTGAAACCGCCGGATAAAATATGGTAAACAACACACTTTTCACAGCAAATACGCTTCCTTCACTCTTGTTTGCGTCATGATTTTTCGGTTTCCTCTCCGCATCGATTTCCCCCCTTTGCAAATGTCACCGCAAACCACCAGAAACCCCTTTCCCGTGTGTCTCTGGTTAGAGCCGCCACTGTCGAGGGAAACGCTGGCAGCTACTGTGAACAGACGGGCATGAGTCGCGCTCGCAGCCCAATATAGCCACTCGGGATGGCACACGCAAGAAGAAATACCTGACTGCTGGCGTAACTTAATGTGGCGAAGGCGTAGTGTTTCAGAGGAAGGACTGAAGGAGCGAGGAAAACAAAGCTGCTGACTGGTTACAGCTGTTCTTCACGATGGCTGATCAAAGGCAAGCTGATGGATGAAAATCCCCTGCATCTCAAACAGCACTGATTATCGGGAGAGCGATACATCTTATATACTTTCCAAAGGAAATTATGTGCATTAGATCTTGGATCACATTGGTATAATAGCTTTTGAGTGTACACTCCTTTTAGGGGGAAAAAAAGAAAGAAAAAAAGCTATTTTAAACTGCTGAGGCTCAGTGCTAAATCTTTGATTGAAGTTGGATACAATTAAAATGTAGTCATTTAAACTAATGAGAAAGTTAGAAAAAAAAAGTTAGAAATATGGTTGAAATTAAAGCGACATAACTTTTATTCAACATCACATGTTTCAACGTGTCAAATTGTAATTCGGTGACTTCTAAATGCATCTGGCTGCAGTGGATTTTAGTTGAGCGTATTTGAGAAAAGAGAGCTCTGAATGGAAAACTGTATGGTAAGCTTAGCGAATTTCTTTTTGTAAACATCTGAAAAAAAAACATGTCAAATTCAATTACGATTTAATTTGTGTTGGTTTATCCCATAAAATCTCACTGAAATGTTCTGTCTCGAACAGTTTATCGTTTATGTTGACTCGGCATAAAACCCTCGACAGTTTTTGATATCAATAGTACTGCCTGTTGGAGCACAATCTTTTTCTTGAATTAGAAAATAAAAGAAAATAAAAACAAAAGACATACCAAAAGACCTAGCTAAATTTTGTACAAAGTACAATTTATTGTGAACAGAAACATTTCGGACTGGCTGAAAATGCTCAAACCCTGGGGGGAAAAAAAGAAAAAGAAAAAAGTTGTTCATCTTTTAAAAGCAGCCTTTGCAGCACAAACCGTAGTGAAAGTTTAAACAAAGTCTTTGTGCAACTATTGAACGGCAACCCATGAAGGTCAAATGACCGGTGGTTTGTTGCAACATCTCTTTCTTTCTCTAAACCCATGTCCATCTGCCTCGGGGTTCGGCTCCAGCTGCGGCTCAGAGGGGACACAGCAGCAGCAGCGGCGGCTCAGAGGGGGGGAAACCAGAGTGGAGGAGGTCTATCTTTCAGCAGTGATGGGAAGTGATGTGAACTATGCTGAGGTAAACAACCTGAGAGGATTACACTGATTGAAAAAAGCTGCTTTGGAGCAGAAGAGCAAATGCAGAAAGTATAATAAAACAGGTTGACTGTAAGTGAAATAGAGTGGAACCATCTCAGAGCCAGTCGGCTGTCTCCGCAGAGTAAATAATTGACATGAATGAACGGGCAGTCAAACCATTACAGACAGACAACTGGCAAACACCGAAGTGCTCACCTGCAGCTATTTCCTCCACACTTCTTCCACACACTGCAGGACCTAATTGTGTTGCTGATCCCCACAGACAATCTGCAGAAGAAAAGGCCTAATCTCTAAGGAGTACTCTGTACCGTATGCAAATGTTCAAACAAAGGGAGAAGTTTGCAACTTTCCCACACAAAACCGGTCGGACGATGATAAATCGTTCAGCATCATTGCATTCAGATGTGACCTCATGACCGACGGTCTTATCACGGAAAGAGGTGGACCGCGATTATTTGTGCAGAGCGTCACCAAGACGTCAGTCCTGATCAATGCGCCACTATCACGACTATTTGCTTGGCAATTTATCTCACTGTCTGTGTGGTCATAGCTCCGGATCCAACAAAAACCACTGCGCTTATTAGGAGTTATAACTAAAAACAGAAAAAAAGTGGATAATTTTAGCAGAAGGTGTTGGAAGATGTAATCTTTTTCTATGTGTAAACTAGAGGAAAAATAAGTGAAAGCTCGATTTTAGGAACAAATTAACTGTCAACGATTAATTTAAACAAAAATGCGGCAAAATTAATAAAACAGCCTCCATTTAGTGTTTTGTTCTTAACTGTTAAACTTATGCAACTGAGTCCTTCACACCACAGCAGCTGCAGAAAGTTGCCACTTGTTGCCACCTAGTGATGAAATGTAAATCAGCAGACTATCGTCCAACACTGCAGGTCAGATGGTAATGATGCATGAAATTTTAAAACAAGCAGAAGGATCAGTGAGCTTAGGAGAAATATCATCTGGAGAAAAGACCAAAGTTTGAAGCAACATGATAAATCTTATAAAAAATAAGGTGTTTAATGGTGTAACTTGGGTAAAAATTAATAGCAAGGCTCTTTTCTGTTTTGCAAAGAATCTTGTTGCAGAGCTGCATCCACATTATGTTTCCGATAAACATCCATTGATTGGTCATCCAAAATTAAAGTGCACTGCAAAAATAAATATACTTTTTAATTTTTTCTGCACTTTAATGTGATTCATCAACAAAAAAGGGCACAGTAAAAAAAAAAAAGTGGAAGAAGAAACATGCAAGTTGTTTTTGTAACATTAACAAATAATCAAGTAAATGTGGCATCAATTCTCCAAGTCATTTTTTTCATTGCATGTGCAGATGAAGGTCCTTCTTTAGGGAAATGTCTTCAGATACTAAACGTTTACTAATGTTCTCTTACATCTGAGACATTCGCAGAGCAGTTGGAGTGATGCTGAGATTAAAGCACACACGCACTTTGTTTACATGTAGTACGGTAGATGAGTCTGAATTCACACAAACGCAGCAGCATTTTTTAAGGGGTTGCAAACAAAGAAATTCAAAGCAATTCCTCATTTTCCATCCCACATCACTACCATGTTCTATTTTGTGTAATTTTTCTCCTAAAGTCTCATAAAATACATTTTACATTCTTTTTGGTAATTGACAAAAATGTGAACATATTGAGGATATATTGCAGTGAGGCACTGTACTTCAACCTGCTTTGAATAATGCTTTATATTCAAACCTCTTTACAAAAGACGCATTGGAGACACATTTCTTTATTGATAGCACATTATACAGTAACCGTGACCCTCTGCCTTAAAAACATTTGTCTGGTTAAACTCTGATCTAATTGATTTTGTCAAATATTGTGGAAAATATCAGCGAAAAAAGTTCAGCCACAGCAGTTACTTGATCTAGTCTGGTCTGTTCGGATATCACATATAGCTGAACCAGGTTTTTTTTTTTTTTTTTTTTTTTAAATCACAGATTGCAGACTTTACATGATCACTTAGCATTTAAGTTGATTCCAGAAAGATGCTGTGTAACTTTAGCATGAAAAATAAATAACTCGTATAAGAAAGCAGAGAGAAGACAAGGCAGCCAAATGATACAGACGTTATTACTGCCTCCAATATGTAGTTGTTGTGCAACAGTAAAAAAAAAAAAAAAAAAAAAAAGGGGGCCCCAAAACGATGATGCACTGATAAACATCAACACAAAACTTCCAGGGGGGAAAAAAAAAAAAATACAGTAGTTTTTATTATCCGACAGGAGTGATACTGTATTTTCTTTACTCGTGATTTTTTTTTTTTTTTTTTAACTGTTAAGGGATTTGAACAGAAATGCTTGTAAGTCCTGTTTTTCATATTGTACAGGCTGCTCGGCTCCATACCCATGATTCCACACTGCTGAAGCAGCGTCGACAGAGACCCATTAGATGTCTGCAGTGAGCTGTCCTTTGCTCTGGATGACCCTCATGACGGATTGGACCACCTCGGATGTGGTGCCCTGACCCCCCAGATCCGCTGTGTGCAACTGCAACCACAAGAGCACGACGTAAACAAACAGCCACAATCCCATTAAAACAAAAACATATATGATTCTTGGAGATTTTAAATAATTTTAGGCTTTTTTTAATTGAGGATTTGAACTGTTCTGCAAAGGGAGCTCGTATAACTCATGTCTTTGCTGCTCTTCACTGGTTACCAGTTTGTTTTAGATTCCAGTTTAAAATTTTTGTTTTAACTTTTAGGGCTCTGCATGATCAGGCCCCCCAGTATGTATACGACATGTTTAAGCCGCTGATCAGAGGCTTTGGTTGGCTCCACATGCTCCATTTGAAACCCGTGGGGATCGGTAGTTTCAAGCTGCTGCTCCCTGAATGTGGAATTTTCTACCATTGTTTTTATATTGTATCGATTCCATTGATCATTTTGAAAAGCCCATTTGTACAGACAGGCTTTTGAGTTAATTTGATTATGTGTTTTGTGAAGAACTTTGAGATTTTTATCTGTGAAAGGTGCCGTGCAAACAAAATTGTACTTTGTACTGTCACTTCTATCTCCAGGACTGAGAAATTATACAGTATAAAACTTATTTTCATAACAAAAGATGCAAATTCTACACCAGCTTGACAGCATGCTCAGCTTTAGTGGACTCACCCTAGTTTCATTCATTGTGGTGAGTACTGCATTCCTTATCAAGTTGGCATAGTCGTAAAGCCTAGACAAAAAAGCAGAAAGTGTTATTAGCTTTATGTACTGGCAATGCTATATCTTTTATCTATACGAGTAGAACGTACTTGAGGTGGTCCAGCATCATGCAACTGGCCAGCAGCATAGCAGTGGGGTTAGCAATGTTTTTCCCTGCAACACTTTTCCCTGTGTTCCTTGTAGCCTGAGATCCACAACATAGAGAGAAAGAAATTAACCTCTTAAATATATATTTTTTTTAAATCACACATTTACATATTTTTAAAGTGACAGACTTAACTATGCTGCTAATTTACAGTCACTTACCGTTTCAAACACGGCGTAGGCCCGACCATAATTAGCACCAGGCACAAGGCCAGGCCCTCCCACCAGGCCGGCGCACACGTTGCTGACAACGTTCCCATACAGATTAGGCATCACCATCACGTCAAACTGTTGGGGTTTGGACACAAGCTGGAAATGCAGAAGAAATCACAGTAAGAAAAAAAATATATATATTTTTGAAAACTGCCACACTAAATCCAGACTCATTAAGATTTCCACCTGCATGGTGGTGTTATCCACGATCATGCTGTCGAAAGTGATGTCAGGGTATCCAGAGGCCACTTCCCTGCAGCACTGCAGAAACAAGCCGTCTCCAAGCTTCCTGTGGTGACGAACAAACCGATGGATATTCCAAAAATAAAATTAAAAAAAATAACGAAGGGTTGGACTATTTGGAGTCGAAGTCACTCACATGATATTGGCTTTATGCACTGCAGTGACCCTGCGGCGACCCTTCTCCCGAGCCAGTTGAAACGCATACTCGGCAATCCGGAGGGAATTGGTCCTAGTGATGATCTTCAGACACTCCACTACCCCCGACACACTCTAAGACAAAAAAACAGATAAATTATGTCTTAAATAGCCAGTACAGTTCTAATAATGTTTTCAAATGACACCTTAAAAACAAGATGGTGATCTGAGGAAATTAATAAGGCAGTCATGACTCTATAATGTGCCCATATGCTGAAGATTTCTGGGTAAAGTCTAAGGTTCAAATCACCACAAGCACAGCGACTTTCCTATGTTGATGTTTCAACAAACTTGTGTCATAGCAAACGCTCCGCCTCTTTTTAAACCTTCAAAACATGTCAAAGGTCTTTAATGATAGAACTCATTTATTACACCAGTCAAATCGACCAGACTGACAACATGAACCTTTCAGCTCTCCATCCTTCTATATTCTGAACTCTGATACTAATTCAAGTGGATATTTATTCCTGCTCATAGGGAGTCGTGCACCAGCGTTGTTCACAGTGGGGGGTTGAACTGACTGAACCTTAAACTTGATCTGGCTGAAACAACAAATTAAATAAATAAAAAAAAAAAACATGAAAAAAAAATTGAGAAGAGAGAAATCAAGAATAATTGAACTCACAGTAGATTCTCCAAGTAAAAATCCAACACTCTTCTGTTCAACATATTACTGTCACTGAAAATAGATTTTCATGATTACATGTGAGGTAATAGTGGGTTCATCTTCTCATCACACCTAAATTAGATCTGACTAACAAACCTAATCTACTGCTTACTGAGACAGCTGCACCAGTTTAGGCAGTTTAATGAAGTCAGTATTGATTCATGTCAGCAGCTGAGTTTGAGCAAGCCGTTTCTGTATTTTCAAGCTTATATAAATGGCAGCATTTAAGTAAAAAAAAAAAAAAAAAAAGAAATTATAAAACAGTGGGAGGAAAAGTAGAAGTCCAACAAAGCAACAGCAGCGGAGCACTGATTTATTTCTCCCAGTCTGACCTCGTGCTCCAGACTGCTGTATTCCCCTTCTGTGTTCTCCCTAATGATCATGATGTCGATGTTCTTGTGCCGAGTTTGGACTCCAGGGAGGGACTGGCAGTGCATCACGTTGGCATACAGATCCAAGCTTGTGCTGTTGAAGGAGAAAAATGAGTTAGAAAGGTGAACCATCTGACAAAACAGGGCATTTATCAAGGGAGCTCAATATTTTATCCAAACCTACCGTAGGAGATTATTTCTGGATTTCACAGATGGCGGCATGGTATGTTTGGTCTCTATGTTACCTAACAGGAGGGTTGGGTAATTCTGAAGTTAGACTGCAGTAATGTGGAGTTATGATGAATAACATGTTGCCCCTCCTCCCCTCACATTTTTACGGTCTGAATGGGGCTAAAAGCTTAGCTTACCCTTAAGAGCAACTCCATTTCGGCGGATGGCGGTAATGGCGTTATCGATATCGTCCTCGGCCTCCAGCGCTGAGTTGACATGCACCACCTCAAAGTCCACAGGCACACAGCTGAACCTACAGGCGTGATTACCAGTGATGAAGGGGGTCGTCATCTTTTTATAGTCGAGTCTAATCAGGATTTAGCTCTGAGGGAACTAACCTGAAAACCTCTCTAACGTGACTCAGAAGCTCTGGACCGATTCCATCCCCGGGTATCAGCGTCACGGTGTGTCGACCTCCGTACTTTGCAGGAGGCGGCTGCAAATACCACCATGAAACCCCGTATTAACTATTTTAACACAACAGGAGTCCTGCTGTTTTGCTAACTTGAATTAATAGGCTACAAAGGAGTTGAAAGGCTGTGCACTTTAGTAGTACACTAATCAATAAAAAAATGAAGCAAGCATTTACAAATGCCAAACATGTTTAAATTGTTAAATCATTTCCAAAGTGCTATAATTTAACTTTTAATTTAAAATACAGTTTTTGTGCTGGGCTAAGTAGTCTGACATTGGTTGAATGTTGAGTGTTGAGTGTTAAATGTTGATTCTATTGGACAGGATATGCTTTCAACTTTCAAGTGTAAAATTACATTCTCAATTGGATTTAGGTCTGGACTTTGACTAGGACATTTTAAGGTAAATATATTTTGATCTAAACATTCCATTGTACCTCTAAGAGTATACTGACTCAGGAAAAAGGAACCATACCTTCATTTCTAGTCAACTAGATTGCTGTAATTAACTGTTTGCTGGTTGAACTATAATGAAATGGTTTAGATCAAAGCACATGGCCCAATCAAAGTCTAGACCCAAATCCAACTGAAAATCTGTGGAAAGAAAAAAAAGTTGCTATTCATAGGTTCTCAATCGTTCCTCAAATCTGCCTTAGTTTGAGCTATAAAGCATTTTAATAAAAGATTTTTTTAAAAAGCGGTTCCAAAACTAATGACTCAGGCTGAATACATTCAAGTTAATCCTTACATATTTTTATTAGTAGTTTAAAGTTTGTGGTTGTAAAGTGTTTCTCTGAGGGCTATATTTTTGCACTGAGAAATTGTGGTCTAGATTTTATTCTGCAAATTGTCTTTAGATAGTTTTGTCATGTTGGTCACACATAACCACAAAAGAGATGTTTCATTTGCAACATAAATAGCCACAAGTTTTATAAAAACTTGTGAAAAATTTATGAAATATATAAAAGGTATCTTATCTAGCTCAAAAAGATCCATTTACTACTGCTCACTATTGTGAATTGAGAACTTCAAACAATCCTGACAAGAAAGTCAGCTGTCATGCAACAGTGAACTAAAACACCATAAAGGTACCAATTGTTTGCAATTAAGGCACTGTCAGAATTTTGCAAATAGTTATCTCATGAATAAATTTGTGTCTCTACTCTAAGCTGGAAACAAGGTCAGGTGGACCATCCCGTTGTTGGAGAAACCGGTTTCAGCTAGTTCAGAGAAACCCCTCTACCCCTTATCTTTAAGTTTTTGTTTTATGACTGACCCCCACCCTGCTTTCAATGAAACTAGGCTGCTGCAGGGGGACAAGTTGGAGTTGTCCTGAGGCACCACTGAGACTCTCCCTCTTTGGTTGTTTATATGTACAGGTTAAAATACCCAACAGGTACAAAGGAAAAAAAAACAGTGTTTTTTTTAACTGTTAACGTTGGTGTAAAGTATTTTAATATCAATCTGGCACAACTGGAATAACTATTAGAATAGTTATGAATTATTTTGAATATAAGTGCACATTTACTGAATTACTTGAACACTTCATGTGATACAAACTGATCAATCTTCCATGTATTGCAAATGTTCTTAAATATACAGTACAGTTGCATGAAGAATGGAAAGACACCAATCAGGTTTTACACAAAAGGTTTGAGATCTAAGCTCCCCCCTGCCACACATGCAATAAAACAAAGTTATGAAACTTATTTTATACAGGTAAAAATTTAGAATCCGACTAAAAATTAAGGAATAAAAAGATTACCCAGATTTATGCAGAAAAGTATGTGGCCAACATTTTATGACTTTTAGCAAACTTAAGTAATTGAACCAACATGCAAGCACCTAGTAGATGTGTTTATAAACAAAATGATGGACGGTTTAAATTTAATGCATTTAATGTAAATGAGTAAAATGCCTTTGTGATTGTTCAGCATGACTGGCTAGAAAAATCAGATGATCCCAGTCTCAGACTGATAAATTGATGCATTCCTTCCAACAAACAATAAGTCCAGTCATGCATTTTAACCCAAAGCAGGCTAAATCAAAAGTCAGCTACTTACGATGTTGTCGCTCTGTTGATAAAGAAGAAAGATAAGGAAGGGAGAATAATCATCAGTTTGATTGTGACATACAAGAACTTATTAAAAACCAAAAATGTGATAAATGAACACAGGACATTTTCTGACACTCCCATGATCTCATAGAAAGTGAAAATGCAGTATGGTTTATCGACAGAAATCAGAGAGCAGTAGTGTTGATTTAGGCATTTTGTATTGAGTCGAGTAAAAAAAAAAAAAAACAACAACTAAGATTTAATTCTGTTTCTGCCAGGACAGTCTCAGATACTCACAACATGAAGTGTTTTAGTCCGGTGACTTGTTAAAGTTGTTCCAAATACCTGAAAAGTTGAACAATATGAGATTTTTGAGTGAACCCCAAAAATACTCACAGGGTGGCACTGATGTTATATTATTTGACCTTGTGTCTAGTAGAAAAATATAAACAGTGACTTCAGTCTAAGGATAAAATTACAGAATGATACAACAAATCAAGCTTGTTTCGTCTTACTTTAACTGTATTTCCCAAGTGTCGACCCCAGAGAGGATTTATAATCCTAGAGACAGAAAGCACAGCACTGTGAGCAGCCATCTTGATTATGAGGAAGCAGCCGTCGCGTGCGAGTGCAAGTGTCTCCTATGTTTTTTATATTCGCTCTTATTTTTTTTTTAATAAAATAAAAAAATATATGTATTTAACATTTTTTAAAGACAGCTTGAAAATAAATACAAAGCTAAAAAAAAAAATAGAGATAATGTAATGCCCACGTGAGCAGTTTTGCGCATGCTCAATGCGTACCGACTGGATTTGGGCACATCCGGAAGTGAACAGGATGAAAATAGTCAGTTTTTCCTCGTTTTGCCGACAACGCTCATCATAAAACGCACACTGGGATTTTGGATTTCGGTTTCTTTAGTCTAGAATATGCCTGTTAAGCCGTCTCAATGAATAAACTGCGTAGAAAACACTGAAAGTCCGGTGCAAAGGGTAGTGACTGATTAATTTGTGCGGCTGCGTCCCATCAAAGGTGACGAGCTTAAATCAACGCTCGCTCACCTTAGGACTAGATAAAGTAGGTAAGATTTCCTATTTTAATTTAAGCTATGAATACGAGAAACCAGGTATATGACTTACGCGTTCGTTTCTGTTTGTCTAGATTATATATATATGTTGATATATAAACATATCAACATATGTTTACTTATGGCAGACTATTATAATTTCAGCAGCTATATACCTACACTCCAAAAGAAATCTTAACCATTTCACAGAAATACATTCTCTAATGCCTTCAGAAAGTTGCATGTAAAGAAATGAGAAGATAACTGAAAAGTCAGTTTATTTCATTCAGTTTAAAAGGTTAAAATCATAATTTAGACTTATTACACACTAAAAATTTAATTTATGGTGTAAGCATTCTTTTACACCATATTCATTGACACCATCTGTGAGGGTGGGGGTTTATATATTTTGCTTAATTAATTTATTCATATGTAAAAAGAACAGATTTCTTTGAAGGTGAAGTCAGTGACTCTTAAAGAGCTCAAACTTTTCATCTAGGAATTTTGACTTCAAGGGACCTTTCTGTTCTTTCAACAGCATCATTAATCTGACCTTGGATTAAAACTCAGCATGAGGGAATTTGAAAAATTCTTTACGGAGGTCTCTTGTTCTTAGAAAGTTTACAAACTACTTCATAGATTGAGAAATCTAACTGCTTTCAAACATCCGGACTTGCTTGAGACCAGTAGGACATGATTTAAAACCACTTTTCAGTCCTCAAGGCCCACCGTCCTTCATGTTTTTGTTGTCTCTGCTTCGCCACACCTGATTCAAATACTATACATGGCATAAAGTGCTGCTGAAATATAAATAAAATTTGAATATGATTGTTAATCAAACAAGTAAATCAAACAAAGGAGTCATTCATAGACATTCAGACAAACATTGACTAGGGTGTGTGCGTACATTTGTAAGAGTAAGACAATGCTGAATTTTTAAGGGCCCACATTCTTTCCTCTTGACATACATTGCAGATTTATGTGAATTTGTAATATCTCAAGCAATGCTAAAAAAAACCTGACCATTTTTCTCTTGATCATCTGATAAAATACTTTAAAACACTACAGTTACAGTCAAAATTATTCATACCCTTGTAGAATCTATGTAATCTCAACTTCAAAAACTGGAAGGACATCACACAAGAGAAATGATCAAAAATACCAGTGAGAACTTGTAAAAAGTTGCTCAGCAGTTTTAAGGAGGTTTTGATTGCTTTAATGCAAGTAAAGCTTTTTCCTGGAGTATGAAGAATAGAAATTATTTTTAAGACCTCTTTTTGTAAGTGTAGTGATTGGGAAAATTAAAATTAGCCATGCGTTGTAGAAAATGCATTAAGAGTATACATAAACATTTGAAGACCTGTTGAAATGGATGACAAGGGCCATCAGCAGAGGAGCAAATCCAGCAAAGAAGACTTTGAAAAGAAGAAACTGTGACATTCCCTTATTTTCTTATGAACAATATTTTGGAAGGAGCCCTCAAATGTTTTGCAGCTGGAAGAAAAGCAGATTTCAACAATTGTACAGATACGACAGAACAGTTGACAGAACAGTTAAGTTATAAAATTAAACACAGCTGAAATACACAACCTTTTAACTATGAGAACAGTTAAAACCATATACAGAACATGACAAAATACACATGAAACCCAGCATATAATTACTGTTCACTACTACTGGTTGCCAACCAGTAACAGCATTGCCATGGTAACTACCATAGTAACTACCAACTGTCAACTGTAGCATCAACTGATATAGTAATAAAAGTCAGGAGAAAATAACTTTTTAGACTAAAAAAATGAATTTGAAGAAACCAATTTTGATTTACACTATGGTTAAAATTGAACCCTATTACATATATTAAATTCCCTCAACGTACCTGACTCTAACCTCTTGTTTGCCCTGTCTACAGGTCTATGAGACGGTGAATCATGAGACTCACAGGTGAGTCGTAAGTCTTCAGAGAGTTTTGTCTGAAGTGTCTTTTGCCTGAACTTGTATGTCGTGATTCTGTTAACAGCCCCCCTGCGAGGCGTGGTGGTCCTGCTCCTGGCGGGCTTCACCTGGCTGCTCGCAAGCGCATTATTTGGAGGAGACGGCAGTTTATCTGTGCGAAACATCTTCACTGGTAAAATGAGTCATCTTCACTTATTTTGTGGGTTTAAGCAGAAATATCAAAGGAAACTTTTAGATTTTTATAGATGTTTTTATGTTAGATCTCAAGATTTAAGTTTCTTGTGGTTTTGTGTTTCTGATTAAACAGAAAAGCCAAGCTGAAAGCATCATAATGGGTTTTATCTTCAATGACTGAAATTTCAGTCACTAAAGATAAACCTATTAGTAACAAAGAAAAAAAAAGATTAATCGGCTTCTCTGATGAACATTAGATGTACCTGAAGAATCAGGGTTACTGCATAGCAAAATCAAATCAAGTGTTTTATTTTTGATACTATTTAATTTAATCAGAAAACTTGTTTATATTTCCAGGCACAAGAGAGGAGCCAACCCAGTGTAAGTATAACAGACAAAGTATGCACCGATGCTCTGTTAGTTTGTGATTTAACTATTGTTGACTCATATATAATCTATCTCAGCTGAACCGCATCCTCGGAGGTACAAATGTGGACTTTCAGCACCCTGTCCTCCAAAGCATTTAGCTTTCCGTCTGGTGTCTGGAGCTGCAAACGTCATTGGCCCCAAAATCTGCTTGGAGGACAAGATGTGAGATAACTTCTCTTCTCCTCATTTGCATCTTAATCTCCCCTGCCTCCCCCTTTTTATTCATTCTGTTTCTCTCTGTTATGTTTTTCATTTCCTTCTTCTTTGCTTTCCTAACAAGGCCCCCAAGTATCTCAGGGGAGCTTGATGCAAGTATTGTCTTAGTCTGGTGGTGCTTTATTTTTTGTCTTGTTAGGCCTTTCCTTTGCGCTGCTGACTTGTTGGTGTGTAATGTAGTGTAAGTAGGTGCAGAAATGTGCCTTAGCAGTGCCCTACTAAAGTCCTGATACTTGGACATTTTCATATTTTCCCACATTAGAACATTAACTTTAGTGTATTTTGTTGTGATATCAAGTGATGGATCCACACACAGTGGAAGGAAAGTTTGATATAATTTCAAAAATGTGGTTATAAATAGAAAGATCACCCTTCTGTTGTTTGGACATTCCTGATCCAAACTGTTTCATTGTAGCTGTGGCTGCATATTTGGAGTTGTTGTCCTGCTGCCTGTTTTAAAATCTCTAACAGACTTTCATCCAGGATTACCAAACATTTAGCTCCCTTCATACTTGAATGAACTCTGGATAACTTCCCCATCCTTCCTTATCTGAACTACCCCTAAGTAGGTTTTCATTTGTGCAGTACTTAATGTATTTAATGTATTTTTGGCGATGGATTGAACAGTATTGTGTGTTTTACAACCCAACTCTGATTTAAACTGCTCCAGACTGACCTGTCTGCTGTGTTCCTTGGTTTTCACGATGCTGTTTGTTCACTAACAAACCTCTGAGGCCTTCACAGAACTGCTGGATTCATATTCAGATTATATTACACACATGTAGACTTGATATGTAGATTAGCTGACTTCTGAAAGCAGTGAACTGAATTTTATTCAGAGGATTCAATCTCGCATATATACTCACAATTTTCTATCACTTCTATTTCTAAGAAAAATGTGTCTGTTTTGCACATTATATTGTGACAAAATGTGTACAAGTTCAAGGAAGAGAAACACTTCTGCTACGCACTGTAAATTTATATTAAAGACTTGTGTCTCTGTCTCTCTTAGGTTAGTGAGCAGTGTGAAGAACAATGTTGGTAGAGGACTTAATATAGCTTTGGTGAATGGTGAGAGACTCATCTTCAACTTATGATAAACTGTTATATTTATTTTAACTATTGATTGCAGTAAAGTTTTAACACTTTGTTTCTTTGGTTTAGGGGTGACAGGTGAACTATTGGAGACTAAAACCTTTGACATGTGGGCAGGAGGTAATGAAATCCAGCAGGAAATGTTGCTTAATCTGTATTCCAGTCCTAGTGGCACACAAGACGAATGAAGTGAAACTCGCACTTTATCTAACGTTTCTTTTCAGATGTGTCCAACTTGTTGAAGTTTCTGCGGCCCCTTCACGAAGGAACACTTGTGTTTGTTGCTTCCTTTGACGATGCTGCTACAAAGTAAGAATCAAGGATGTGTGATTAGCTTAGTATGAGAACTCTGCTTATTTATTTATTGTCCCCCCAAAAATGTAAGTTTTATGTAGAACATGTTGCTTCAACCTCTAATTGATAGAACTGGATGAGTAGCCAATTTTGCATTGTTGATTACAAAATGCAAAATTGTGACCAACAATGATGCATTTATATTGTAAATGATGCTGCTTCATGTGTAATAATCTTGTTCAGCTGATTCTCATACTTGGAATTCCCAGTGCAAATAAACGAAAAACACCAATGCACGAGCTGTAAAACATCAAAAGATTTAAATGGTGTGTCATTTAGTCTGTGGTACCGATTTGCATGTCATACACAGTTCTCTAACAATTTGTTTTTTTTTGTTTGTCTTGGCAGACTGAATGATGAGTCTAGACGTTTGTTTGAGGAGCTCGGTAGTACAGCTGTGAAGGAGCTGGCCTTTAGAGACAGCTGGGTGTTTGTTGGAGCCAAGGGCATCGAGAACAAGAGCCCCTTCGAGCAGGTATGAGCCGACTCTCAGTCTGATGCACAGGATGTTGGTAAAGACCTGCTGCAGCATTCTCCTGTGCTCCATCTGTGTACTACATTTGCCAATAGCTTTACTTTACGGGACAAATTATTTTAATGATTTTGGTTAAGTTGGCATAATTGAGTTTTTTTTTTATTCACCGTCTATTGAGGCTTTTGTTTTTAGTTGTTTCTGGCTGGTTTCTTCTCCACTGCAGAGGTTATATTAAAAATGTATATAAAGTAACCAATAAGAAGTTTAATTATTCTCATTTTAGGTGGGAATAAAATACCTTCACTCTCACTAAAATTGCTATTAAACATTCATCTTAAAAATAAAATAGGTGCACAAGTTTGAATTATTGTGAATTATTATTCTCTGTTATTTATATGTATAATCTTTGGGTAAATGTCATTTGGCTAGCTGCAAAAAAACCCATGTAGCTTTCATAACCATGAACAAGCTTTCAACATAGTTCTGATGCATCGTCTTCCTGGCACAGATCAGGCTTTTAAGCATACTCTATAAATTTGAACTAGAACTCAGGCCGGAGCCGTTCTAGAAGTTTTCAGTTCTGATGTGTGTTTGGGATCATTGTCCTGTTGGAACATGCAGTCGTGTTTGTTTTGGTTCTGGTCTGCTCTGCACCCCCAGAACCAGGACCAAAGAAAAACTTGATTGATTGAACTTGATTGATGAAGTAGCCAAACTCCTTCT